TCAATGGAAAAGATTTTGGCCTTTTTTCCCCTTGGCATAGCAGAAGACTGAAAATTAAGGCTTAAACAACCTACGTTTCTATTAGCAAAGAAAAGGAAGTTTATGGAGACATATTCCCTCCACGAGAAGCACTGCTGTTATTTGGTCTTCTCTCAATGTAAACTGGCCTTCCAGCCAACTGAACAGGAGATGCCTAGAAAAGAAAAAATAAAATAAAACAACAAATAGTTACTAGATATTGACGATTGAAAAGATCATCTGTAACATCCCAACAATGATTTACTACTAAACGAAAAACAGGAGACGCCTAGAAAAGAAAAAACAAAACAAAACAACAAATAATTACAGGATATTGACTATTGAAAAGATCACCTGTAACATCCCAACAATAATTTTACAACTAAAAGAAAAGTTGAATGGAAATACTATGCTCGATTTGCATAAAGAAAGACTCTGGTCGACTCTCGATTGACCCAAAGAAAAAGTGAAGAAATTGAAAGCGGTGGGAACAAAAAGTAAATTTATAGTAAATAAAATATGAATGAAACAGCTCCCACTTTGATCACAAGACAACATATCATTGACTGATAAGAGTTCAACCTTGATAGCATTCCGAGCAATCTGCACATCTTCAAACTCAACGAACGCATAGAAAACACCAGTATCCTGTCCATCAATTGAAAAATCAGAGATCCTACATTTTACACCTTTTGTAAAAGACAGCGGGAAGGAAATGGACCTGGAGATATTTTAAGAAGAATCCATCGTGTTTGATTTTCCCAAAGTTCTTAAACTCTTGAAGAATATCTAGACTAGTAACACTAGAAGGCAGATTCTTCACATAGACAGATCTTGATTCCCCTGCAGAAAAGTTGTTGCTTTGATCAAGCTGATATGATTTAATTAGAAGAACAAGTAATTTGCAGTATGTAAAAAGGCCAATTGCAACAAACTATACTAACAGCTCATCCATTAATGGGTATTCGCCTAGTGTACCAATGGCCAGGAGAAAAAAGAAATGGATATTTGTTCAAAGTCAATATCTTCTTAGAGTAAGCTCTGCACTTTCATGTTGATATCAGAGGCTTGATTATTGCCACCAAAATGAGAAATGTATCATACAATAACATAAGAAGTTGACCACATTTGGCTAATCAATTACATTCCTAAAAACGTTACTAAAATAAGAATTTCCCCAAACAGACACTACTTCACATATATCTTTTGAGTATGCTAAGTTTAGCAATACTTATAATTTTATAGAATTCATATAAAATTGTCATAACTTTAATCCATATTTCATTACCCGAAAACAAATAAATAAAAGAAAAATGAAGATAAAGTTTCTTACTTCCTCTTTCAATAAATCATAATCTATCAAATCCAAACCAGCATCTGGTACACCAGACGCCACAGGGTTTGACTGCTGAACCGAAGGTTGTGATGCTTGATACCAATTTGAAGCAGGTTGAGTGCTGTAAGTGAACGATGGCTGAGAACTGACAGATGGTGTAAGTTTTCCTTTAGGAGCTCGCAACTTATAATTTTCCAAGAATTGAAAACAAAGAGCAGGGGGAAATGAAAATCAGTCAGATCGTGTTAAGAACACTTCAAAGACTCATCACGAAAATGAGCATGACTAAAAAGAGGAGACAAAGGTGTCTATTTTCCCATACGATGTCATCCATCAGATTTATACAACTATCCCAAGGAAGCTTACTTATTTTGCACATATTCGTAGGGATCATTTCACTAGAAGCACGTGTTAGACAAAATAACAGTAAAGTGCAGAAAAACTTATCAACAGATCGAGTCTCGTGACAGCACGATGTTCTAAAGCGAAATTGCCCATCGATAATTGCTGCGACCTCTGTGGACAATCACCTCCAGGATACAACGATCAAATAAACCAATTGTGCAGCAATCACAAAAGGTTTTCAAAACTCTCAAGTGTACTTCAGAAATGTGTAAAACTAAGAACAATATTTTTTACTGTACTTTATAGAAATATATAATCTCGTTTTTCTTGTAATTTTCTAATACCCAAAAGTGTGTTTATATAGGCGGAAAGAAATGTAACTTCTTCCACCATGATCTAGTATTAAGTTGCAGATGTAATGACCAATGGTAATGGGTATTAATACTGGGCAGTTAAAATATTCATATTCTACTGGCTAGTTGACCCATTAAATAATTCCGAAAATGATTAAAAATAATAATTATTATTTTATTAGAATCAATAAAGTCCAAGAGCCCAAGGCCCCAAAGGCCCAATCAAAGACTTTTTAATATAGTGCGTGAGGCGTGGCTCGAACACCTGACCTCCCACACAAATTCCACACTTTTCACCAGTTGGGCACTTCATCTTAATTAGTTATTTCTTTCACATATTATATTTATTGTATAAATATATAGCAATCCCCCACATGAAAGAAATGAGATAAATAAAAATACTATTTTAGAGTACGGTAGAAATTATACTAACATTTATGGTCTATTTGATTGTAATAGTGAAATTTAGATGGAAAGAAAATGAATTTCAGAAAATTAAATTGCCTAAAACGTGTTTTTACTAAGAATTGTCAATTAATTATGTTTGATTAGTTTAATTTTCTATCTGAAAAATATTGAAATTTTGAATATTTTGGTATTCATTTGACTTTATTTTCCATTAAAATTGTTCATTAAAGGGATAGAGTTTGTTACAATTTGGGATGGAATATGTTTCAATTGCCAAAAAAAAAATTTGCATAGAAAACCAAAAAAAATAAAACTCATGAGATAACCAATTCAAGGAAAATGTGGAAAATGGGGTCACGTGAGGTGTAAGTTGGAAAACTATTACCTAGAAAAATTTTCCTATCAAACAGCCTATAAGATGAAAAATGGAAAATAAGTTTCAACTTCCATAGAAAATTCTTCCTATCAAACGAGACCTTAGTTTCTTGGGGTAGGAACATCTAATAAAAGATTGAGACTGCCTGTAAGAAAAGGGACGAATATGTGAGAGACTCAAAAAGATATGAAAAGATAATAATTACCAAAGGATTATCCCACTGATCGGTAAATCCGCATCTAATAATCACTCGAAAATGAGAAAGATTAGTTTTCACTCCAATCGATTTGATAGCAAACTAGTATTTGCTATGTATCTTTAAGTCATGTGCCTCACACGGGGAATTTTGAACTCGGACTGCCAAGTACATTGAGCATGACACGTCTTCTAGTAAGGAGGAAAAAAAAAGCCCGGATCATTGAAAATCACTTGCAACCTAAACAATGCAGCTCACAAATTGAAACTGAAAGATTATAAGCATGCATAGAAGCTGTGTACAAAGTTTTGCTCAATTGGATAATCAACTTCTCTTATTTGCCCTTTTAAATCATGGATTTCATTTGTTCAATACGGAGAGTGTGTGAAGACGTTGGAACTTGAGAGTACAAATGTGAAAGCACTTCACACAAGGGCTCAAGCATACATGAACACGGTCTATCAGGATTTGGCCGAATTTGATATCTCGAATAAAGAAATAGAGGAGAAAATGGGAAAGGAGGAGAAAACATAACGAGAATACCATTCACTTATCAGAGAAATTTGATGAAAATAAATGAAAATGATATTTTGTCCAATCATATATATATAATTGAGGGTGAAAAAAGGAAAATGCAAAAAAATAGAAGATGTGAACGTTTTCTACATTAATAGTAAAATGTACGAACATTATTTGCTTTACCCAAGAATCATTAGTAAAAATAATGAAACAAAACAAAACTGTGCTAATAACCCCACTTTGTCAATGAAAAAAAAACCAATAGTAAAATCGTCCATTAGGTACCTATATGTTACTGAACTACAATATTGATGGTGTAAATATTACTTTTTAAAGACTAAGGACCAAATTGCAAAATATTAATCAATCAACTGGTGCCATTGATCCGTGGATCTGGATAAAACCCTCATCCTATTCAGAACCGCCAACCATTCCAAAGTTTCAAACTGCTCGCCCTTTCTAGCCTTGTACCTGTGTTTCTTGGTGCCGGAGTCCGTTACATCGTCAGTGAGAATGAGCAGCGCAGAAGGCGGAGTGATATCGAGGTTTTCTCAGTCACCTATTGTGTACAAAGGCAAGAAAGCCGCATCTGACTCGGCATTTGTGGCCAGAAAACTCCTCAAGAGCACCGGGAAAGCCGCCTGGATCCTCGGCACCACGTTTCTCGTACTCGTCGTGCCGTTAATTATCGAGATGGACCGCGAACAACAGTTCAACGAGCTCGAGATGCAGCAGGCCAGCTTGCTTGGCACCCCTCCCCCTTCCTCCGCCGCCCCGAGATAAAGCGGTAAATCAAATTCCCCTATCAGGTCAGATGAAATTGAGTGTTAGTGGCGTGAAGGATTTATAATGTACTGGGGTATTTTGGAATGTCAAAACGTTTAAATTTTCGAATAATTTGATCTCGATGTCTTCGCGAGTTAGTTATTCTGATGACTGATTGGAATCTGGTTATTTCATATTATATTTCTGTGGAAATTTTAGATTATATAATAATTTATCTTTAGTAATTGGCAGGACTTAATTACATCCAGTTTCTTACCCTGATATCATCCTTTTGTGACTTTTATAGTTACTTCATTGTCCCCAGCCTTTGATCCTCTTAGCAATCTTGTAATGTTAACTGTTTTTAAGCTTAGCCCAGCGTGCTCCAAGATTCCTGATCAGGACAGCTGTTCACTTACAAAAATCGACTATTAAATGTTTTAACAACCCTTATTTAGCTGCTAATCGGTGAGGGTTTTATGTTTAGAAAATTTACGACTATGTTCCTCGATGATAAGAAACTTTAGGTTGAATATTGATCATAAATCTTAAGGTATTTGTAAATCCTTCATCCTCATACACATGTGAACCAGGCAGAAGTGATAGGACTACAGCCATCTCATATTGTTTGAAGCAAGTTCATAAAATGGTTGGTTGTTAACGTTAACTTTTGATGGATGAAAACTTATTTTCTATACGTTTCATAGGCTTGCTGCTCGATCAATTTTTACTGCACGAGTAAAAAAAGTTTGGGATACAGGAAAGGAGAGAGTTGAGACACTATATGGATGAGAATATCCCCCGTTCACTTGCTCATGAATAGACAAGTAGCCATGAGAACAGTAGGCTATGTTTTGGGGAGATAAACTAATTTTTATAGTGTAATCGTTGGGAGTCGGTGCCTCGCCGTTTAATTGGACTTCTAGAAGTATGACCGTATAGTTTTAGGGAAAGGAAGTGAATTGAAAGTAGAATTGTTGTCATTATATGACACTTGAACCAAAGGAAAGAGAGGAAAGAACAATAGAGAAGAAAAGAGTTTGTACACACTTAGAGCTTGTTTGGGAGAGATTTTTGGGAGAAGAATTGATTTTTGAATAGTGATATGATAGGAAAGTGATGGAAAATATTATTTTATTGAAGAATGTGTGGTTGAAAATGAGAATTGATTTACTGTAGAATTTGAGAATCAATCCCAAACACCCCCTTAATATACCAATTTTTGAAGTGGGTTTCAGCCTTTAAGAGGCACCTAACTTTTGGGCAAGGGAGAGGTCTTACATAATGGAGGACTTGACCAACGAACAAGCACATCTTGTCACCATTGGCTGGCCTGCTTGAACAACCAGTATTCTCTCAGGGTCAGGATTAGGTTTGGGTTAAATCAGAACTTAGATTTTTTGTAATAATTTTTTTGGAAATTTATCCCCTTTTTTAATTTGTGATCTATTCTAAAGCCCAAATGATAAATCTTGCCCCAAACCATGTCTACTGTTCAGATTGGCACATAAATTGTGATCATCCATGTAAGAATTTTACTTCGTATCATGTATCATCTCAAGTCTTTTTTCAAATGGTGCAACATTTTGGAAAAGTCATGGTCATATGGAAAGAGTCATGCTCCTTGATTACTGTGGAATAGAGGTGTTGCTTCTACGAAGATGAAAACATACTAAAGTAGCTTCGAAGTCCACTAGCAGCTTCAATTTTCTTGATAAGTCAGCCTGAAGTCGTTGAATTTGAATTGCTGACAGTTTTTCTGGTTTGTGTTTAAGCCCCTGTTTGGTTTAGATGGAAATCAGATTTATTATTATTATTATTTTTTTTTTGTAGATTTTGATAAAATTTGAGTGAATCGTGTGATTGGAGAGTTTTGATCTAATAAAATATATGGTTAAAACTAAATATTGACTTTAATTTAGATTTTAATTCAATTTTTTAGCTGAACCAAACATAAGCTAAATTACAATACACATTCTACTATGGTAAAAAAGAAGTCGAGTTATGAATACTTCTCAAAAAAGAAAAAAAAGTTTAAATCTTGTTCATTATGATTTCGTTTGACTAATTTATAAATGGTCTATAAAGAGGAATATTAATGAAGTGTGTATATAATAATAAGCAATAGTTATGAATATGTGATTAAAAGTAATATTTAATTTTAACTGAATTTATAAATTGGTATCTATATGGAGGCTGTACTTTTATATCGATCCAAAAGCACTTGGAATACATGCTCTCGATAACATGCAAAAACTGCCCTAGTCTTTAATGTGTGCAAATTGATAAATAGCATGAGAGTTGGTGTATTGAAGACAGTGCAGGTGAGGGTGTTAAATGGGCGAGTTGAGTGCGATTCAGCTAGCCTCAAGAAAGTTGGTGTGGGGATAAGCCAAGCCAAGCAGGCTCATGAGCTA